TGCCCCGCCTAGCGGTGCTCTTGTTGACTGATGTTTTTATGTTTGGTAGGATGATAACTTGCATGGTCTTCTTCCTTTGGATTGAGGTAGGGTTCACTTGGGTCAAGGTCAGCAGTACTAAAAATAGATTTTTTCACTTTTGCCTATAGAGCCATTATTTATGGACAGATGTCTTTCATATTTGGTTGGAAGATAACTTGCATGTTTTTTCCTTTCGATTGAGTTAGGGGTCAGTGGGTCAAGGTCAAGAAGGCCAATAAAAGATTTCTACGCATTTGCTAAAACAGCCTTAATTTTTTACTGTTATTTTTCATATTTGAAAGGATTATAACTTGCATCATTGTATTGTGTTAGGGGTCATTTGGGTCAAGGTCACCTGTGCTAAAAATAGATTTTTACACTTTTTTATAGAGCCTTTGTTGTTATTTTTTTTACCAATGTCTCATACTTACATGGAACATACCTAAGGTGGTCTTTTAAATTCAGATGGAGTTTAGGGTCGCTGGGTTCAATGTAATGTCTTGCATTTACATGTATATATGATAAAGTTGAATAATTTTCAACTTTATCACAAGTCATAGCAATGACTTTCCAACTAATATTTTTCACAATTACAAAAAAGCTATGACTCTGTCAAGTTATATGTTATATGTGTTTATATTTTTTTTTTACTATTTTCTGTCCTTAACTGAGTTAATGGTTAAATATTTTTTTAAATATTGTTACTGACAAGAATCTGAGTCAGGTGCATTTGTGTTTAACAAACACATTTTTGTTTTCTTCTGTGTGTAAAGTGACAAAATCACGAGGAGTGTTAGAATAAAGGATTAATGACTGTTATGGCGGAAAATACATTTAGCTTAATTTTATAGCATTTTATTGTAACCAACAATAAATAAAGATGATCTTATCTTATCTTACTCTCTTCCTGCATGCATATGATGTTTTGACGGCATTGACTCAGTGGTTTATGAGGAGATGTTGTTTAAAGAAAAGTGTGTACTGACATACCAGTATTTTTGGTTTCAATAGAAGCTTTTTCTTTGATCTTACTGTGGCATTTTTCTTCTGTTTAATAATATTATATCATATAAAAATACATTGTACAAACAATATACAATTTCATAATTTTACAAACATAATCATCAAGTGTACATATAAGGGTTTCGCCAATTTAAGTTCTAACAACATTATTGTGGGCCCTTCCCTGTGGTTCTTTTTTTTGTTGCTTTTTTTTTCCACATAAGCCAGTGTGAAAAAACAACTTAAGCCAATCATTTATATGGTTTCATTCTTTAAACCATTGCCCATAGAAACAAACAGACAGTGAGTCACAATAGCTCACCTTGAGCATGCGGTGTCCTGGTGAGCAAAAAATCAGTGACTTAATAATATATTAGACTTGCAGAAATTAAAAAAAGTCAGCTGACTGAGGGGAAAACTCAGTTGATTGTGTTGATAAATTTACACAAACCACCTAGGTGTACAATGGCTTTATGATGGCACTAATATATAAGGCATGAATGGGTTTGACCCATTTTACAGACTGTTGCCAAATGCCATGATCCAAAAACTATCAAAATGTCTTCTTGAAAAGATAAAAATGGACTTAATTGTATAGCTAAAAATATTGAAAATATTGAAGCTAAAGGATGAATAAGTTAATGAAATATGTTCACAAATAAGGGCCAAAGGTCAAATAACAATGAAAATCATTCATTTGCTAGTAAAACCTTTTAATATTTTATAACATTGAGTTGAGATGTCCTGCGCAAAATGATGGTCAAGGTCACAAGAGGTCAATTAAAAATATTAAAATTTTATCCAGTCTATATCTTGCTCATTCTTTGATGGATTACAAAATAATTTGGTACAAATGTTCATCATGATGGGATTGTGTGTCGCACAAAAAATCCAGGTCTGTCACTCAAAGGTCAAGGTCAGACTTGGGGGTCAGCGCAAAACCCATCTTCTACATGTGGGAGGGATTTTAATAAAGCTTGAGACAAATATTCTCCATAGTGAGGTGGAGAATCACATGAAAAAGTCAGGTGTCTGTGGCAAAGGTGAAGGTCACACTTAGGGGTCAAAGGTCAAATAAAAAATGAAATATTCATTTGCTAGTATAATTTCTATACATGGATGGATTTAAATATAACTTCAAATAAATGTCTCCATGGTGAGTTGAGATGTCTTGTGAAAAATTAAGGTCAAGGTCACAAGAGGTCAAATAAAAATATCAAAATTTGTTTCTCCGCACTGTATCTTGCTTATGCTTTGAAGTATTTATTATTATGCTTAGTGGTCAGAGGACTTTTGTCGAGCCCACATGCACTGAGCTCCACATAGTTGTCAAAATCTCTATTTTGTGTTTGTGTGTGCGTGCATGCATCCAAACTTTTCCATGCCATAACTTCTTCATGCATGGATACATTTTCAAATAACATGAATTCAGTTTTTTAAGACACAAATGTTCATCATGAGACTATGTTTCATGCACATGAACCAGGTCATTGGATCAGAGGTCAAGGTCAACTAAGATGATGCTATGTCAAGATTTTGCCTTGGGTATAAAGAGGATGTGTTGCGCACATTTCACCTATGTATACATCTTTCTCCTTGATCTGAAGCTTATAGGTTCATGAATGAATAAGATGAGCTGGCTCACACTCTTGTTATAATTGAATTATATCTTTGATAAACATAATTATTTTAAAGAACATTTTTATAGCTCTAATTTGCACCCTCTTTTAAAAAGATGCAAATCCCGGGGGCATTAAATAGAGACAATTCAGTATGTTCATTTGGTTAGTTTCATCTTGAGTGAAATAATGTTTGATTTCCAAAATTTTACTTAGAAACTTAAATATTTGCATAATATTATGAACATTGAGTATGTGACAATGAGTTTATAAAAAGCAGAAAACAGATTTTAGTAAAAGCTAAAAATATCATCTGCCAACAGTGCAAGTAGCGTTATGAATTGATTTATTTGAGATCAAGCAAAATTGTCTGAAGAGTTTGATGTGACAAATTGTGTTTAAGTAGTATTATTTGGCATTTTTAACTTGTTGAGTTTTTTTCGTTAGTTTCTTTAATTTTAATTTTTTATGATTTATGCTTAGGATTTTAATCATGATAAGTATAGATCTCGATATTAAATCAATAAAACTGCCTGATGGCCTAGTGGTAAGAAACAGAATAATGTGACCACATACATGTAGTTGCCAGTTAGATTTTTTAACAAACTTTTTTTAGCTCACCTGAACTAGTTTAGGGTAAGCTTTTAGCATTGTTGAATGTCCGTCGTCTGTCCACACATGTTCGTTAACACTCTAGCGGTCACATTTTTGCCTCAATCATCATTAAATCTTGTCAGGATGCTCATCTAGGTAATAGCTCGAATAAGTTCGAACATGGGTCATCTCCGATGAAAAACTAAGTCACAGAAGCTAATAATAGAAAAACCTTGTTAACACTCAAGTGGTCACATTTTGCCTCAATCATCATCAAACTTTGACAGGATGCTTCTCTAGGTTATAGCTCGGATGAGTTCGAACATGGGTCATCTCCGATGAAAAACTAGGTCACAGGAGCTAAAAATAGAAAAACCTTGTTAACACTCAAGTGGTCACATTTATTACTCATTTATCATCAAACTTGGTCAGGATGCTTGAATAGGTAAATGCTCTGATGAGTTCAAACATGGGTCATCTCTGATGAAAAACTAGGTCAAAGGAGCTAAAAATCTTGTTAACATTCTAGTGGCTACTGTTTTGATCCAAATATCCTGAAAATTGGTCTGAAATATTGTTTTGATGATTTCTAGGTCAACTTTGAATATGGGTCACCTGGGGTCAAAAATTAGGTCACACTGCCCAAATATGGAGAAACCTTGTTAACACTCTAGAGGTCACATTTTTGACTTAATTATCATCAAACTTTGTCAGGATGCTTGTCTAGGTTATTGCTCGTATGAGTTTGAACATTGGTCATCTTGGATGAAAAAATAGGTCACAGGAGCTAAAAATAGAAAAATCTTGTTAACACTCTGGCTACTGTTTTGATCCAAGTATCCTGGAAATTGGTCTGAAAGTTTGTTTTGATGATTTCTAGGTCAACTTTGAATATGGGTCACCTGGGTAAAAAACTAGGTCACACTGCTCAAATATGGATAATCCTTGTTATAACACTCTAATGGTCACATTTTTGACTCATATGTCATGAAACTTGGTCAGAATGCTTGTCTAGGTAATTGTTCGGATGAGTTTGATGGGTCAGCTGAGCGATCTAGGGCCATCTTGGCCCCTTTTGTTATGTGTTTGTTACGCGTTTCTTTAAGATTGACCTGAGGCCATTTTTAGCCGCCTACAAGTCCAAACTTTTCTCTGCCAAAACAGAAGGGGGCACATTCCCCATTGCCTCCCCCTCCCTGATGTATCTTTTTGATAGGAGAGGCAAAAAAGTGATCACTTTTTTAACAACATTTCTCAAATGAAAACAAGTGTTTGGGGCCTAAATAGGACATTTTTTCACTATTTGAGGCTGCAATGGGCGGGAGTGGGGGGGGGGGGGAGTGAACAGACATGAACACATGTCTATATGAGGTAAAGGGTTAAGCTTTAACAAGATATGAAAAATGAGGTTTTTTAGAAATAAAAATTAAAGGCATAATGGGCCTTAAATTCAAATATGACTGTGAACTGATCTTTGAATGGCATTGAATGTCATGGTAAATATGAAATTTGAAATTTATTTGCTAAAATTTTTCTTTTGTAGGAGCTTTCTTTACTATCATAACTTCCTCTGATGTGCTTGACTTCAAAAAAGAAAAAGTTGAAGTGTGGCCCATGGAGCCTGCTAGGCAATGGCTCCTGTTGTAACATTTTTAAGCATATTAAAGGGTACTTTACATTTAATATGTTCCGATGAACTGAAAGAAATTCTTCTTTGACTGAAGGTATTTTTTCTTACTCTGTCAAATGTTTTTTTCATTTCAGAAACTGCAACATTGAATGTTTCTGCTTCAGTTGTTAGAATTGGTGATAATGTTACCTTTGAATGTATCTCACCACAAGGCTACACTGGGGCTGACTATGCATCAATCACATTCAAACTTTTACATAACAATACAGATCTTTTTGGCAATGAGGAAGCAAAATCAATAAGGGGGGACTATTCTATTAACTGGTATACAATAGAAATATCTGGTCAACAACATGCGGGTAACTACACATGCATCATTACAACCACTGGCCCTGATAAAACTGTGAGTGCTGGAGCTTTTCTCAAAGTTATAACAGGTAAGAAATATAGAAAAATGTTCTGAAGTAGAATTGATCTATTTCAGCTCACCCCAGCACAAAGTGCTGAGAAGTGAGCTTTTGTGTTGGCAGTGTGTCTGTAGTTGTACACAATTTCTTGAAACATCTTCTCTTTAACCACTGAAAGGATTACAGGAATGATCCTTAGATGGTCCTCTACAGCAGTTGTTTAAAACTGTTTCAGCCTGATGCATAACTAGGTCACAGGAGCTAAAAGAAGACTTCAATAAGGAAATCTTTAAAATTCTACTTCTCTGAAACAACAATGCCAAGAGCTTAGATATTTGACATGTAGCATTACCTTGTAGTCCTCTACAAAAATTCATGCCCTTAGGATCCAAACTGACACTTCCCTATTACATAGACGTTTATAGTAAAATACATTTAAGTCTTTTGTAAAACTGCAATGCCCATAGGATAGATATTTGACTTATAGACTTACCAAGTGGACCTTTACAAAAGTTATATAAATCATGACCCTGGGGTCAAAATAGGTCATGCCCTGGGGGTCACTTAGTGTAGACTTCTATAGAAGAAATGTCTTAAAAGACTTATCCTCAGAAACTGCAATGCAAAGAGCTTAGATTATAAATTATGTCTCCAAAACTTTGGGGGACATATTGTTCTTGCCTTCGCTGTCTGTCCGTCCTTCTGGGTTGTCCGTACAAACCCATTGGAGAACAATAGGTAACAGTAAATTCTCTTTGATCCTATTCATTCTGTTTTTACTTGTGTGCCTTTTTTTAAGCCATGTGTGACTAAAAATGGCTAAAAAGATCAAAGGAAAAGTCACATAAGTAAAAAAATCTGGAAACAAAGTGATCCCTTGGAAGCATTGATCACAACAAAATTACAAGAGAATTGCAGACTCGGTTTGATTGAGTCTGTACATGAGTAAGTCTATCCGGTTGTCTGTCCATCCGCATTAAGCTTGTCCGGCCTTCACAGGTCAAACAATTGGTGGGATTTCAACCAAACTTTACAGAAGTGATCAGTACAATCTCTTGTTGTGCACATCGCCAGCATGTTTCGCTTCCCTGCACAAAATGGCCGACAGAGCTAAAAATAGAAAAATCTTGTCCGGCCTTCACAGGTAAAACAACTGGTGGGATTTCAACCAAATTTTTCAGGAGTGATTTGTACCATCCTTAGTTGTGCACATCGCCCACATGTACTGCTTCGCTGCACAAAATGGCCACCAGAGCTTTACAGGAGTGATCAGGACTATGCCTAGTTGTGCACATCATTGGCATGTGTCATTTCACTGCACAAAATGGCCGCCAATGGGATTTCAGCCAAACTTTACAGGGGTGATCAGGACCATCCCTAGTTGTGCATGTCACCGGTACATTCCACTTCCCTGCACAAAATGGCCGCCAGTGGTAAAAAAAGAAAAATCTTGTCCGCCTTTCTCAGGTCAAGGTACTCCTGGGATTTCAACCAAACTTTACAGGAGTGATAAGTACCATCCTTATTTGTGCATGTCACAGGCACGTTCCGCTTTGCTGCACAAAATGGCAGAGGATTAAGGAAGAGGTTACTGTTATTAAGAAAAAAGAATAATGGGTTCTTAAAGATTTATAAGAGTTAGGGATATTATCCCCCGCCGATGGAATCGGGAGGGGGATATTGTTTTGGCGTTGTCCGACTGTCCGACATTCTGTCCGTCCATCCGTCCTTCCTAATTTCGTTTCCGGACTAGTTCTCTGCAACTACTGGCTGGAATTCAACGAAACTTTATGGGAATCATCAATATCAAGAGGAGATGCGCATATCGTCAGCTTGTTCCAGTCAGACCCTTTTAATTCAGAGTTATGGCCCTTGATTTAAGTTATGCAGTATGCATATAGAGTAAAAATCTTTTTCGCGGTACTTCTCTGCTACTACTGGCTGGAATTCAATAAAACTTTATGGGAGCCTTCAATACCAAGAGGAGATGCGCATATCCTCGCATTGTTCCAGTCAGACACTTTAACTCAGAGTTATGGCCCTTGATTAGTTATGCAGGATGCATATAGAGCAAAAATCGTTTCCGCGCTACTTCTCTGCAACTACTGGCTGGAATTCAACAAAACTTTATGGGAACCTTCAATACTAAGAGGAGATGCGCATATCATTGGCTGGTTCCGGTCAGACACTTTAAGTCAGAGTTATGGCCCTTGATTAGTTATGCAGGATGCATATAGAGCAAAAATTGTTTCCGTGCTACTTCTTTGCAACAACTGGCTGGAATTCAACGAAATTTTATTTGATCCATCAATACTAAGATGAGATGCGCATATTGTCGCCATGTTCCGATCAAACCCTACAACACAGAGTTATGGCCATTGATTAGTTATGCAGTATGCATATAGAGCAATTATTGTTTCCGTTCTATTTCTCTGCAACTACTTTCAGAAATTTAATGAAACTTTATGGGAACAATCAATACCAAGAGGAGATGCGCATATTGTCGCCTTGTTCCGGTCAGACACTTTAACTCAGAGTTTTTGCCCTTGATTAGTTATGCAGTATGCATATAGAACAATATTGGTTTCCGCTCTACTCCTCTGCAACTACTGGCTTGAATTCAATGAAACTTTATGGGAACATCCTTTACCAAGAGGAAATGGGCATATCGTAGCCTTGTTCCGATCAGACACTTTAACTCAGAGTTATGGCTCTTGATTAGTTCTGCAGTATGCATATAGAACAATATTGGTTTCCACGCTACTTCTCTGCAACCACTGGCTGGAATTCAACAAAAGTTTATGGGAATCATCAATATCAAGAGGAGATGTGCATATAGTTTGCTTGTTCTGGTCAGACACTTTAAGTCAGAGTTATGACCCTTGATTAGTTCTGCAGTATGCATATAGAGGGAACTTTTTGGGAACCTTCAATACAAAGAGGAGATTCACATATCATCGCCTTGTTCCCGTCAGACACTTTAACTCATAGTAATAGCCCCTGATTAGTTATGCAGTATGCATATATAGCAATAATTGTTTCTGCGGGACTTCTCTGCAACTACTGGCTGGAATTCAATTAAACTTTATGGGAATCTTTAATACCAAGAGGAGATGTGCATATTGTTTGCTTTGTTGAAGTTGTTTAGACCAGACCCTTCATTACAGAGTTATGGCCCTTGATTAGTTATGTAGTATGCATATAGAGCAATATTGCTATTTCTTTGCAACTGCTGTATTGATTTCAACAAAACTTTATGGCAACGATGGATACACAAAGGCAATTTACATCTCATTGGTATGTCCAGATATTACTATTTAACACAGAGTTATGGCTAAAATTGTTATTGCCCTGAATTTTTATCAAGTACAAAGAATATTACTGTTTATGCCATGATAAATTTATAAATAAAGCCTTATGACTCTTCAGTTGTTGTGTTAGTAATAACCAGTACTCGGCGGTGGATATAAATTCAACGAATTTGCTTGTTGTTACCATATTTGGTGTATAGAGAGCTTATCATGAAGTTATGTAGAATTCTATTATTGGATTGCTTTTTGTTCTTTTAGGGTCAAGGTAACTGTTACTAAAAATACAAAAAATGGTTTCTGGTCAATAATTAGAGCTGAGAATGAGATATGTAATTAAACTTGGTATATAGATTATTAGTAAGCTTCTGTTGAGACCTTGTTGAGATTGCTTTCAGGATCCCCTAGGGTCAGGGTCTATGTTACTGAAAATAGAAAACGGTTTTAGTTTCATAGCTAAGAAAGAATGTTAAGAATGTGATATTGTAATAAAAAATACTATTTTTAATGGAGTTATATGTTGTTTCTTTTTGTTCTCCAGATACTGATAAAGATGTAGGGTCTAGAGGTGGAGGTAAAACAGAATCATCATCAGAAGACAAATATGCCTTAATAGTACTAGTAATTTTACCGATTGGTGCTCTTGTAGCAGCTTTTCTAATACACAAAGAAATTAAAAGAAGATGCCAAGCAAACAGAGAGGGCAATGGACAAAGAATAAAGGATAAGGAACAAACAAAGAATGATGGACAATCAAACTCAGGTAATACCAGTCTGTTCCTTAACCCATTGCATCATAATTTGTAATTTATATTTCTAAAAGTAGATTTAATTTAAGTTATAATGATTTTTTTTACATATGTTGTCAATTTTGTGATGTCAAATATAAAGGCCAGATCAAGAGACTGGTAGTAAACCAATAATGCACCCATGTATACAATTTATTGTAAAACGTGTACACGATTGTTTAAATGGGTGTTACTTTGTACTATACCACACCATGTATTTGAGTCGCCAAATGATGACTTACTTTCTATTTTTAATACATGTACAAATAAATAATGTGCCTCTTCACGATTGAGTCGGCACACATTTTCTGCATTGTTATAACCCACATTTGGCTCTTTTGAAAGATCAAAGGAAAAATCAACTTTACAAAATTAATGATGTATTATGTCATGAGCAATTATTGCATGGTAATGCTGTCTGAAGGGTTGTAAACACCCATTTTCCGTTTTTTACTTTGGAATAAATCAATTAGAATTGATAGAATTCATGATTACAGGCAATGATTAAGATATTTTGTAAGACAATAATTATGGTCATTTCGATTAAACTGTCAAAAATACCACAAACGTTTACGAATGAAAATCGAAACAAATCTGTTTAAATGTGTAACCGTGGGGACCTTTGTAACCAAATTATATTTTTGCTCTATAATATTATATTGTGTTACATAGATGAATATGACCTGCCAGAAAGAAACTTTTTTTACAATACACACAGTTTATTACAAGGTATGTAATAAAGGAGTTATTATATGTATACTTTGTATATGTGACTATTCCTATGCACTAGACTAAATGGATCATTCTTGGAAACATGACATTTTTAGAAAATATCTTGCTGCCAAGAATAATCAACAATTTATTTCTTTTTATGCATTTTAAAAATTGACTTTGTTTTTTCAGGTGAAGAAACTTTGAAATTAGATAAAAAAGAGACAAATGGTGGTGATGATTCGATTCCTGGACAAATTGATGATAAAGTAAATGAATCAACTCAAGGGTTACTGAAAGATGAGCACCAAGAAAATGGTGTCTGAGTGATTATTGAACATTTGGATAGTTGCCTCAATATATTGACTTAATCATGTATAGTCAAATCAGTGCATTTGCAGACTCTTTGTTTATAAATAATTAAATTTGGCATTGAAAATTGACAACTTCGTTAAGAACCTTAAAAGCATCTTTCTTATTAAAAACAAGTCTTGTTAACTGCTAAACAGCTTGTAATTTAAGTTTTTCACATGAAATTTTGATTGATAGCTGCATATAGTTTGCATATAATGATTCCATCCATTGTTACCATTGTTAATTGACTTTAACAACATCTTATCATTGGGATCTAGTCGGAATTTCATAATGGCATGGAAAGTCATGTTGCTCTATTATAGCTATTTAATTGGTATATTTTAACATTCTGGACACATCTTGTAACTTAGATACAATTTCAAAATTAAAATTTTAAAAACTTTTCCCCTTTATCATTGATAAGCCTACCTTGCATGGTTCTCTGCCCTTGGTGAGGATATGAGGTCCGTGAGACTAAAGTCACCAGGACTTAAAATATATTTTTCTTTAACATATATCATACTGTAGAATTATGCTCAGTGTCACTGTCCTATCAGATAGAAGTTATTTGCAGTCTTTGTGCAAGTTAGCACTTTAAAAATTTGATTCTTTTGTGCCAAATGTTCATTCATTGATTACTGTCTCAATAGACAGCATTAATAAATTCAGAAACCAAATACATGTAATGTCAAATTTTTATATAAAAAAATATTTCAAATTAATTTTCTATCAATTAAACAAAGAAATTTTTAAGCATTAAAAATTTTAAAATAATTTCATAAGCTTCCCACCGTGTTATTTTTGAAGTGATGAAAGCTATTTAATTGTTCTGGTCACTTTATCTATTTTGCCTGTTGTAATATCAATATATTTTGATTTTTTATAAAGATTTGATTGTGATTTATACATTGTAATGAATTGCATTTATCATGCATGTATTTTTACCATTGTCCAGTACATTAATTTTTTGTATAGTGAAATTTTGTATGTGTGACTTACAAGAGAGTATGGAGATCAATTACAGTAGATCCTTAAATGATTTATTTTTTAATTTTGTACAACTTTTGTTAGATCATATCACTTTTTTATGTTTATAGCTGATTTATATGTCTAAATTTTAAATCTGTAGTTTGTTGAAACAATTTTTTAAATACATTTGTTATGTGCAGTAGGAGTTTGAATATTTACATTAATTACTGCTAACTATATTTTTTACATCTATGCAATGTATGCATAAAAGATGAGAAAAACAACACCAAAAAAACAGAAATAACATTTGCTAAAAATAATAAGATCATTCATCATCCCTATTTATTTTTACATTTTATATCAACAAGATTTAACTGGAGCCTCTGTTTTCCTTCACATGAATGTCTTGTATATTTGCATCTGCTGTATGTGATGACACTTTTTGAGATCTCCTTTCTTCCCCCATCAGTGTCCATTTTTACCCCGCTACTTTTTCCCAATTTTCTTGCTTTTACATGGTATCCTTATCCCATTAATTTCCATATCAGCCCTTTTTATTAATTAAGTGTCCCTCTATTATATGTGATAATTGTTGTGCTTTTACCCAGTTTTTCTGATGGAATGTCTTGCCAGTGTGATTGTGTCATGTCAGCGCTTACATTCTGTAAATGTCACCTTCCTTATCAGCTCTGTTCTCTTGTTTGTAAAATTGGCTAGTCATGCTTTGAACTTTTTACCGTGCATTATTTGTGAAGGCATTTGATGTCAATATACTAAGAGTATGTATAATATTGGATCAGACTGCGTAATGAAAGCAGGTTTTTTCTCTACACAGATGGGCATTTAAGCAAGTCAGTTTTGATCTACATGTATTACTGAAGAGTTATCATTTTTACTGAATTATGAAAGGTTGATTCAGAAACTTCTTTCTCAAAATTATTTAATTAAATGTATAATTTTCTTTTTCTTTTCAATTTGTGATCAATTTAATCCATATAGATTATTTTCAATATTTTTAAATGGAAACCACATTACTTTGAGTGAATATGTCTTCATGCACTTTATAATGATGCCTACAAAAGGTATGAAGCTGTAAATCATGCAATATTTGCTCAATTTTTTAATGTAATTTAAGTTAGTGGCACAGTAATACTTATTGTTGTTTACTTATATATGTGTTGTTTAATTTATACATTTTACTCAGTCATGTGATTTAAAGGCATTAGAAGTACTTTTAACATAATGTATCACTGTACTTTTAAACATAACTTCTTTGTTGAAATCTTATAAACTTTATTAAAGCCCCATTATGTCCCAGAAATGCTTTTAATCTTATTTGCCAGAAGCTTTTATTTTTGGTGTACATGACTGTACTTTTAAAGTTTCCAAAAAGTTACTCTTCAGCCAATTACCAGACCCGTCTTTTTCTTCTGTTGCCTTTTTGACAATAAGTGCAGTTGTAGTGATTGAGTATTTTGAGCAGAAGTGAAAATACTACTTTGTTTACAAGTTGCTAATTTATGACACATTTAGCACTACTTACTTAATGTAACAATCAACTAATATGTTCTACAACCATTATTTAAACATTATAAAATTCATTTTTATACGCCGGGGGGGGGGGGGGAAGTTGTCCAATTTTTGTCCGAGCATATTTCATACACGCATGAAGTAATTTATATAAATTAATGAAACTTCCTAGAAATGTTCACCACTATGAGAAGCTGTGTCAAAGTTCAAAGTTTAAGGTCACACTGTAAAATGCTTGTCCGGAGCAAAACTTCTAAATGGATTCTGGGATTTCAATATAACGTTGCACAAATGTTCACCATTGTGAGGCAGAGTGTCGCATGCAAAATTTAGGTCCCTACGGCCAAGGTCAAACTCACGCATAGGGACCAAAGTTCAGAAGAAATTGTGTATTTGGACCATTTAGTCATCATTATTGAGAGATTGAAACACAAATGGTAATTATCATAACTACTGGTTTGAAACATGTAATTTGGTTAATATATGCAGGGTCATGGCCACTAATGATGATAAAATTTGAAATTTTGTCCAGAGCATATCTCCTCCATGCATGGTGGGATTCTTATGAAACTTCATAGAAATGTTCACCACTATGAGGAGCAGTGTCATGTGCAAGAAAATCAGGTCTAGGTTAAGGGTTAAGGTCACACCTAGAGGTCATTGAAAATTGTTTGTTCGGAGCCGAACTTATTCATTCATCGGGGGATTTTATTGTAACTTGACACAAATGTTCACCATTGTGAGGCTTATTGCACGCATAATACAGGTCCCTGCTACCAAAGTCAAGGTCACATGGAGAGGTCAAAGTTTGTGTATGGGGACCATTTAGTCATCATTTTTTGATGGGTTGTAACACAAATGAAAACTATCACGGGGCCAAAACACCATTATTTGGGAAGGGGCCTCAGCCTTTTTCTTGGGGGAAATATGTGTGATTTTGGCATACTTTGGGAAAAGGGGACTTAAATTTAACACAAACTTTTAAAAAGTTCTTCAAAATAAAAAAGCAAAAAGCACTGGGAAATACTCATAAGGCAGTAAAAGACCTTAATTCAATACCATCATTTAATTTTGTTGTAAATTCTATTGAAAATTCTGAAAGACTGGGGAATTTTGAGGACCAAACTGGGAAAAAAAAGAGGCTAGTTTGGTTGGGGAAGCCGCCTATATTCGGCCTCTACAAAGAAGGTTTTTTTTGGCGATGTATCATGACTACAGTTGTGACAGTTAATATTTGCAAGGTCAGGGTCACTATAGATGATAAAGTATCCAGATATTTTTCCGGATATTGCCCAGAATATATCTCCTATATGCATATCTATAATGCCCACATCTCTGTCAAAAGCTTTTGTGAAGGCTTATTTTGTGACAATATTGCCCTTGTTACCCTTTCTAAAGAAGTAAAACTTTATTCATTTCTGAGGCATTCAATGTGCCTTTGAGGGAAAAGTTGGCCTAATAGGTTAGTTGCCTGCCTTTCAACACAGGGATAGTGGGTACAAACCTTACCTTACCATGTTTCCTCATATGTCATCTGTATGGGTTATTTCCAGGAACTGTTTAATAGCCTCAAGGTGTTTTTGTATCAGGATTGAGCTGAAATAAATGTGTTGAAACTGAATATTTATTTAAAAATTAATGAAAATAAATGATCAAATGATGAAACATCATGGCTAACTAGTGTAAGTATGCAGTATTTTCAGACCTGAGATAAACAAAAGAGGTTATGACAACAGGTTCTTGTGACATTCAGACCAAAAATTCAGACCAAATCAAAAGGACCAAAGTATTTTCTGTATTCTTTAGTAAACTTCTCAGGACTTTCATTGTTTAATTACAAAAATTTCATTGTTATTGTAATCATGAAATCATTCCAGTGGTATGTAATTGAAATGAGATGTTTTGATTGTTTTATGTGTGTGCTTGTTAACTGTTGGAAAAAAACAACACTGTTGTAATATACAGTCATGCACAGTGAAATCTTTGAATTATTTGATCTTGTTTTGTAAAGATGATGTTGATATATAAATTTTTGTTATGTTTGTAAATGAAATACCTTTTATCTAAATGATTGAAGAATTTTATGGACTTTTCCTGTATCAGTATTTGAAATAATTTTACAAAATGAGTGCATATAATAAGAATAAAAGCAATATATCATGAAGCATTTATATTTAGATTCTTTTTACTTTGTTTTTTGTTTTTGTTTTCTCAGATGTTTTATAAATTTAGGTTATGTTATAGATTTGTTGATCAATGGTTTGTCGTTAGTCTAGAATAAAACTACAAAATTTTACATCCAGGTAACATTTTAGTGAGATGTACAAACAATTTAAGATACTTTAATACAACACATTTGATAGAATACATTGGATTTGCTTTAAAATTTTTTATATAAAATATTTTTCATTTGAACTCTTTTTTTGTATGTATTGTTAATTTTATGTTAGCTTATACTAAGTCTTGTGTACTGTGAATTGCTTTTACTAGTATAAAAAGCAATATATGTTGGTTGCTTTATCACGAATAATGGGGATACCCTACATACTGCAATGGACCTTTCCAGATTTTAGCAATGAAAAATTAAGCCATGTCTTTTCTATTCAGTTCAAAATTGCTCACAACCAGTGTCATAAACAAAACAAAGTGTGATTTTGTGTAAACCTGGTCAACCAGTGACTATTATCAAAGTCTGACAGGGGGATAGCAAATCAGCCGGTTAGAATGGAACTGTACACAATGGAAAGGTACATTGGCATAGGTAATAGATATCCTCAGGAGTATAGATGTAGTTCACTTCCAGTTTTAACTGAATGATTCCCAGTTGTGAATTTAATTTTTGTGTCGCCTTGAAAAGGTGACATATAGGGGTTACTTTTGTCGGCGGTGTCGGCGGCGTCTGTCGGCGTCGTTGTCGGCGTCGTTGTCGGCGTCCCCTAAAGCTTGTCCGGAGCATAACTCACTATAAGTCTGATTGACTTCAAACTTGGTATGCATGCTTCTTTCAATAACCCGAAGTGCAGTGCACAAGGACCGGAACTCTGCAGTTCTTATTTTTTGAGTTATTGCCCTTTGTTAATTTTCATACTTTAATTTTGTCCGGGCCATTTCTCTTCAACTAAAAAAGCTATGGACTTGAAACTTCATAGGATGATAGATCTCATTATTAAGAAGTGCAGTGCACAAGAACCAGTACTCTGCACTTCCTAATTTTTGAGTTATTGCCCTTTGTTAATTTTCATACTTTATTTTTGTCCGGGCCATTTCTCCTAATGTATAAAAGCCATGGACTTGAAACTTCATAGGATGATAGGTCTCATTAAGAAGAAGTGCAGTGCACAAGAACTGGTACTCTGCATTTCTTATTTTTTGAGTTATGGCCCTTTGTTAATTTTCATACTTGATTTTTGTCCAGGCCATTTCTCCGAAAGTATAAAAGTTATGGACTTGAAACTTCATAGGATGATAGATCTCATTAAAAAGAAGTGCAGTGCATAAGAACTGATACCCTGCATTTCTTATTTTTGAGTTAATGCCCTTTGTTGATTTTCTTACTTTATTTTTGTCCTGGTCATTTCTCCTCAAGTATGAAAGCTATGGACTTGAAACATCATAGAATGATAGATCTTATTGATAAGAAGTGCAGTGTACAGAAACTGCTGCTCTGCACTTATTATTTTTTTAGTTATTGCCCTTTGTTATTTTTCATATTTCATTTTAGTCCTGGCCATTTCCCCTAAACTACATTGTTCACAAGGCGACACATCCGACTCGCGGAGTTCTAGTTTTGTCTAGGCTCTTGTTTTACCACCATGCTCTGAGAATAGTCTAGAACACTCTCCTACTAAAGTGCAATATGGGATCTGTAGAATTAGATTTGTAGCCATCGTTTAATTGATTTCCTTATTTTATATTGCTTTCCTTTTTTGTATAGTATAGTGTTTTGCCTATTGTTAGATATACACTCACTCAGATATATCTCAGTCCATATGGAACTTTGTCTTTTTAGAATACTTTCTTGGTTGCGTTATTATATTGCCTTTAATAAATGAAATGAAAATTGCTTGTTAAATATAAAATGATATGGACACAGGGTATTACTTTTTTGAATTGTATAAGACAGATATAGAATTCTTATTTTAGGTGTCTTAAGAGAGGTTGTTGATGATTGCAGTCCTAGCATGTCAATAGGTTTACAGGAAGGTTCTAATTTAAATAAGTGCTTTATATTGTATTCTGATGGACTTTTATAAAAATATATTTTTTGTATTTTTAGCTAATCTGAGCACAAAGTGCTTAAGAGTGTCAGTGTGTCTGTCAACTTCTTTTCAAACAAATTCTCCTTTGAAACCACTGGGTCAAATTTGATGAAATTCTAATGCTTAGAATTTGTCTAGTGGACCTTAATAAAGTTTGATCAAATTATAGCCCTGG